GGGTCTTGTGCCCACACAGAGCACAAGCACATGCTGAAGGACCTGAAAGACCTGCCCTAGAGGTTGTGAGTCTGGAGAGAGAGACTGAAGAGAGAAAGCTGGGACGGATTCAGGCTGCTTTCAAATGCCAGTTGGTCCTCAGCGTGGGAAGGGGGCGGCCAGCACAGGGCTGCTGCAGAGGACAGACGCAAGGCCAGTGGGAGGAAGTTCTGGGAAGCAGATGTCCACAGAACACAAGATCCACTGTAGGCGGCGAGGACCGTGCCACGCAGCTCACCCTGTGTTTGGGTAAAGGCCAATGCCTCCATATGAGGGCACTGAACTGGCATTTGCCTGTCTGGCTGCTGCCAACCTAGCATCTCACCATCTCTCCATTCCTGGTGGCAGCTCCTGGATTTTCCTTGGGGAAATCACCTTTCCTCAGTGACTGTCCATGAGGTTCAGGAAGAGGGTCTCGGGGGAGCCCATGGTCCCTGCTTCCCCAGCCACAGCAAGCCTTTTGCTCTGTCTCAGGGCTGGATGCTTGATTCCAGCCTTTGCAGTCCAAAACAGAGGCATCTTGGAGCTGCTGGGAAAAAGCAGCTCTCTTTCCACGTGGGTTAGTAAGCTGTAAGGATGTAATCACAGCACTAGTAGCAACCATCTTGTCACCACATAAGAAAAGCTGGCCAGGGAAGCCCACGCAGAGAACTGCAGAAGCAAGACATGAAGACATATTCTAGACATTTGACTATCTAGATCAAGCTGTGCCTGAACCCCTTAAATTTGCTGTTATATAAAGCAATAACTTTTCCATATAAGCCAAGAAGTTTCAGTTAACTTTCTGGCACTTGCAGGTGTCATTTCTGACCAGTCTACCTGCTCTATAGGCAGACAGGAGCAGAGGCCCTTCCAAGGAACCAGATGCACTGTAAAGATGGACAGACCAAAATGAAGAGCAAAGTTCAAACTCCTTAGCAAGGTTCCCAGTGCATTCTCTGTTGTGTCTGGCCCTAAAGAGACTGCAGAGCAGCGTGGGGTCAGAGGACCTTGGGGGACCCTAGCTTCCATCTCACTTTATATAGTCTGAGGATGAGTTGATACAATGTATAGTGAATGCCAGGAGCTGTGCAGGTGAGCACCACGTGAGCGCTGGCATCCTGCCCCTCTACCCTGGCCTTCCTAATGGAGACAGCAATGGCCACAGTGCCCCCAAGTGCGTGGTCTCCTCCAACTTCCTGGGAGTTTTCTGCTCATCTGCAGAGCTCTCTGTGTACACATGAAAGGACTGGTATTTTCCATACTTTCCTCGTCTATTCATCCACCCATCCACCCAGTTGTGTCCCAGGCAGTGTGCTGGGTATAGGGGACCCAGAGGCTAATGAGACACACCCCTGACATTAGAGAGATAAATGCAGATGATCTGTGCCAGGCCAACAGTGCCCTGCAACTTAATTCTAGGCCTTTACTTGAGCTTCCTGTGAGTGGCTCAGAATAGAAGTCTAAGAGGTGCTAATAGTCATGTCACCTTCAACTGAAGCAAGCTGAGAACAGAACCAATCTAGAGGCCAGTAGGGCCAAGAAAGGGAGAGAAGAAACCAGAGCCCCAAGGACACTATCTGAGACCTGGATCCACCTATACCTGAAGCAAGTCTTTGTTATGTGAAGTAACAAATTTCCTTTCTTGCTCAATTTTGCTCTTTTTTTTTAACTAAATTTTAGTTAGATTTTTTCTTTTTTAAAAAAAAAAACTTCTGGGAGAAATAAGGTTTTATCTTACCTATTTTTAAAACTTTGAGTCATTTACACTTTTAAACTTTCGTTATAGAAAATTCCAAATATATAAAATCAAAAGAATTATATAATAAACTGTCTAGTACCCCTTCAACAATTCAGCTTCAACAGTTCTCAGCATAGGATAAATATTGATTTCTTCATTTCTTCTTTCACATTATTTTCTTTGAACATATTAAGCCAAATACCAAACATTATGCCATTTCAATTTAAATACTTCAGTATTTATTAGTAACAGATACGAACTTAAAAAACTCAGCTCTTTCAACAAAACATTTAATTTATAGAGTAATTTGGGAAAACCGTTGAGACATCTGCCCATGAACACTGTCCATTATCTGTATGTGTAGGTCTTCTCCTTTGTCTTGAATATAATTTTATCTTTAGTCACTTATTACTAGTTTCCCCTCAGAGGCATATTACAGTTTTGTGGCTATTAGAATGAATTCTTTTTATTCTAGTTGTAATTTTATTTCCTTTTAAAATCAACTTTATTCACAAACATCAAAATACACCTTAATTTTCATACAATAAAACATTCATTTTAAGTGCATGATTCAATTAGTTTTGACAGCTGTACATATCCATGCAATCACCACCACATTCAAAATACAAAATGTTTCCATCACCCTCAAAATTCCTCCACAGTCAGTCTCCAGCCTCCACCATTGCTGAGGCAACCCATGCTGTTTTTCGTCACTTATAGATTCATTTTGCTTGCTCCAGAATGTTCCATATAAATGAAATCAATAAGTATGGATCTGGATTTGGTTGTGTTTTTTTTTTTTTCCCTCAGCGTGTTTTGAAATTCAACCATGTTGTATGTCAGACAAGGAATTTTACTTTATCCAACCACAATACCATAATATAATATATAATTACACCCAAAATATTTAGCAATAATTTCTTACCTTCATAATACCCTGATTATGTTTAAACTTCCATGATTTCCAGGAAAAGAAATATTCCCTCAATCAAAAAAAAATTTTTTTTTTGTACAGGATATTGAACCCAGGGAGGCTTAACCACCAAGCCACATCCCCATCCATTTAATATTTTATTTAGGGTCTCAATGAGTTGCTTAAGGCCTTGTTGCTGAGGCTGACTTTGAACTTGCCATTCTCCTGCCTCAGCCTCACAAGCCAGTGAGATTATAGGCATGTGCCATTGCGCATCTGGAGCCATCAATCAATCTTACCATCACCAAAAGTAGGACTAGACATTCTGTATCTCCTGCTATGACGCAGTATATATGCAGCACCACCTTCACCCTGTTCTTGCCAGAATCATTATAATCACTGTCATCTTGAATGTAGTCATCCAAACTTAATTATTAGTTTATAGGAATTAAAAGGGATAGAAGAACAGGTTAAATAACACCATCGGGAAGCAATTACTTAAATCTAGAATGCAGAAAAATTTATAGGAATGAATGACCATCAAAATAGACCATCCTAGCTGGGCATGGTGATGCACACCTATAATCCCAGCGGTTTGGGAGGCTGAGTCAGGAGGATCGCAAGTTCAGAGCCAGCCTCAGCAATGGTGAGGTCCTAAGCAACTCAGTGAGACCCTGTCTATAAATAAAATACAAAATAGGGATGGGACATGGCTCAGTGGTCGAGTGCTCCTGAGTTCAATCCCTGATACCCCCCCTCCCAAAAAAAAAAAAAAAAAAGGGCTGGGATGTAGCTTAGAGGCAGAGTGCTTGTCTAAAATCCATGGTTCTACGTTCCTGCATTGTCAAAAATTAAAATAAAATTAAGTTAAAAATTAAATAAAGTAAATGGCACTAAAATGAGATAAAAGAAAAATATATGGAGTCTTAAGAACTGTGCTCACCAACTGTAACACGTAGACTCTCTTTGGATCCTCATCCAAACCAGCTAAGTGTAAAAGAAAACTTTTAAATTAGGTTCTTACAGTGAAGCATCCTGACAGGTCCAGGCCACACTACTTCAAGGTGCCACACCAAGGAACAACCCCTCATGGGGTTGTTCACAGAGCTCTGTGAGATATTTGTTTATCCCCATTTTAGGGATAAAGTAATCAATGCAGAGAGGAGATAAATGACCTGCCCAAGGTCACATGAAGTCGGATTCACACATCCAAGCCTGCCTGACCCAGACCTGTGAGTCTGGCTGCAGCATCCTGGGACCTCTTACAGCTCCGGTGTTCACAAAAAGAGGGAGGAGCCAAGTCAGGAGGGCAATCGGGAATGAGGTGGAGGAGACCATCAGAGATGGTGGTGGGACGGATGGATGGATGGCATGCCATAAACAAGTGATCCTCCTGCCTTAGCCTCCCAAGTTGTTGGGATTACAGGAGTGTGCCACCACACCTGGCTTTAAACTGGGTCTTTTTTTTTTGTACCAGGGATTGAACTCAGGGGCGCTTAATCACTGAGCCACATCCCCAGCCCTTTTTATATTTTATTTTGAGACAGGGTCTCACTGAGTCACTTAGTACCTCGCTAAATCGCTGAGGCTGACTTTGAACTCAAGATCTCCCAAGCAGCTGAGGTCAGAGGCGTGCACCACTGTACCCGGCTTAAACTTGCGAGTGTGCCAAGCAGAGAAGGGAGGGGGAAGAGAAAAGCCTTTCAGATAAAGGCAGAAACAGTTATGGCACTTTAGGGCAAAGTGAGACCTGCCCCACAGTTGGCGCCTCAGGGACTTGGCATGATGGGGAGGGCCACCAAGCCAGAAAGGTCAGCAGGACCCAGATCACGAGGGACCTCAACCAGGGCCTTCTCAAGAAGCTTGCTGATGTAGGCAATAAAACCCACACCAGTCTACAAGTGAAGCAACAGTCTCCTGTGTGAGTGGTCACTCTGGTGGCCTGGCCCTGCTACCACATCAGGCCTGTTTTGCCTGCCATGCACGATGCCAATGGCCAAAATGATGAGGTCTGAGCTTTCTTGGTGGTGCTGGGGACTGAACCCAGGGCTTGTGCTCGCTGGGCTTACTCTCGGCCTGAGCTCCAGCCCCAGAAATGATGAGTTGTGCACCACAGAAGGAGTTAATTAACAAGGTGGCCTTGTGTGCAGACAGCAGAGCAAGTCTCAAAGCTACCTCCACAGTAATGGATTCTGGGGACATCTGCAGCATGGGCGACCGCAGGCTAAGAGCAGATGAAGTGGGCTAAGCCTGGGGGGGCCTAATCAGGTTTTCCAGCTCCGGGGCCCCCAGGCCTCCTCATTTCTATGATCTTCCTTCGACCTGCAGGTTCAGCGTTGACTGTCACATCCGGAAGCCAGTTGTGGCCCTCAGCAGGAGGCACGGAAGGAGGTCAAAGTCTCCAGGCTGGAGCCCAAGTCCACCTCAATGGCCGCTTCCACCAGCCCTCTGCTGCAGATGCCTTCCTCGCTGTCACCAGATGATGGCGGCTCCTATTTTATGGAGAAGTGAAATGAGAACTGTGCCAGCCGCTCTGTCCTCACCAGCTCTCACCTCCGGCTTCTCTAACTGCCATGGGCCATCACCCCAGAGGCAGAGGCCGACCCGGGCCCAGGCTGACTCCTGCGCCCTCCTGGACAGTCCTTCCCATTTCCTCTTGACCTGTTCCATGGCGTAGCCCCTCTCCTGCACCGCCAACTGCCCTGTCCAAGGATCCCCTCTGTTCAGTGTTTAAAAACACTCTAGGTCTCCCACGGGGCAGGGACCTGCCAACCCCGAACCACTTCCTCTTCACCCCTGCAGTTCACGCTCAAGTTTCTTGAAAGAGCTGTTGACACCCAGTCTGACTTCCCCCTCCACTGCTTCTTCACCTACTTGTCTGCTGCCACAGAGACTCGCCATGGCCAAGGCCACCAACCATCTCCTGATCACACATCAAACACATTTTGGCGGCCACCTGAAGCTGCTGACCGCTCCCTGCCTCTGAACACCTCTCCTTTGGAATCTAACAGGGACCTGCTCTCCCCGTCCTCTTCCTCTCTCCAGCTTTCTCTCTTGATCCCCTTCAGGGCATCTCTTCCCTTGCTGGACATGTCAAGGGTCAAGTTGCCCCTTCCCCAGGCACCCCCACCACGTCTGCTGAACAACTCCCCGCCTGCCTCTGGGGCCCAGATCTGCCCCCTGTGCTTCTGGCTTCTGACCCACATGCCCCATTGGTGGCTCCCAAGGTGGACACTCTCCCAGCCCTATTCTGGGGTTTGAGAGGTGCCCCACCAGCAATTGTCGCAGCCTAACTATTTCTATCACTCCTGTCACATTCTGTTGGTAAAACACTTGCAGGACTGTCCTCGAGTCCATGGGGAGGGGACCGTTGTTGTGGACAGTTGCAAAGACTTTGAAGCTGTCTCTGACCCACCACGGAGGACAAGGCAGGTGATGTGGTTGTCTGATACAGAGTGACCTTCATCGCCATGCAGGAATGTCAAACCTGATTTCTCAAGACAAATTAAAACTAGGGATTTTCATGTGAAAGCTCCAGATCTTTCAATGTTGGCAGCTAATTCTAAAACTTCTAAAAATGTCGTGTGAGCAAAACTAAAAATGGTCTTTGGTTTGGATGTGGATTTTTCTGGCCAATTTTTTTTTTTGACAGGTTTTCCTATGTTGCCCAGCCTGGCTTTGAACTCTTGGGCTCAAGTGACCCTCCTGCCTCTGCCTCCAGGTGGCTGGTCCCCAGGCATGCCACCACACTGGCTCCATTTTTGTTGTTGTTGTTTTGGTTTTGGTTTACTTATTCTTTGCCCCTGGCATGGGCCTGAGATCCCTTCCTCCTCGTTTACCACTAAACTTCTGTGCATCCCACCCATCCGTTAAGATGCAGATCAGGATGTCCCTCTCCGTGAAGCCTTCCCTGACACCCGCTACACATACTACCACTCCTCAAATGGTTCCTTACCGTCTGGATATGGCTTGTCTTCCAAAGGTTCATGCACTGGAAGCTCAATCCCCAGCATGGTCATGTGGAAAGATGGCAGTACCTTTCAAAGGTGAGGCCCAGTGGGAGGTCATCGGAGGTGCTGCCCTACAAAGAGATTAAGTTAGTTCTAGTGACAGGATCACTATAAAAGAACAAGCCTGGTCATTCCCCAGTCACCCCTGCTTCCTGCCCCACCAGATGGCTGCTGCCTCCCTCCCACAAATACTCCCACCATGATGCCATCTGCCATCCCATAAAGCAGTCAGAGAGGCCCTTGCCAGAGCAAGGGCCAGGCTTTTTTGACTTCCCTCCTCCAAATTGTGAATTTAAATAGACCTTTTGTCTTCACAAATTACCCAGCCTCTGGGATTTTGTTATACCAAAGGAAAACTACCATTGTCACTTACAAATCAGATATAATTGTCTATGTGTCCAGATCTCCTATCAGACTGTTTCATTTTCCCATCACAGGACACAATATGTGGTTGGCATTCAATAAAAATCAATCCTCTCCTTTCCAGCATGGTTAAGAAACAGTTAACTTGTGCACACTCTGCCTTCACCATTTTGTTTCATGGCTATTCCATCCTCTGTCTCCATGGCCATTAATTTCCTGGCCATTGAAAACACACTATCACCTCCTCCTGCCCATTGTCATTAATTTAGAGAAGGATTTATGGCGCATTATAAACTGAGGAATGTTTTCCCAAGACCACCAGGAGCTGGAACTACTGGGAAAGAGATTTCTTTCTGCTCTGGTTGACAAAATGGCAGAAGGAGCCCCCCCACCCCCCGAAAATGAAACTAACGCAGCCAAGGTCTTGGTAAGACAAATTCCTCATGACATTATTTGAACACCTTTGTTCAGGTTTTGCTGAAGCCCTCTAGGCCAGGACTTTTCTTTTTTAATCAGTCAATAAATCTATTTTTATGCCTATCATTGGCTATCCTAGTAATTGAAGAGGAGAGGGTGACTTCGTAATTGTCACATTGTTATCGAACCCAAAGAAGTGGGCTGCCTCTCTACAAGCACAGATTTCACAAGCAACTGTAGCTATCTCAGAAATGCCCACTGTGGTCAGCATTCTAAGCCATATTCTCTCACTTTACAAACTTGGATACATTCCCATCAATCTCGCAACAAACATTCCCATCAATCTTGCAACAAATTAAACTTTCCCTTGCAACTTCTTTTTAGTTATATTGTTTCCAATAGAACTGCCTGATTTTAAGAGCTGGGAGATAGTATTGTTTCCCATTTTGCAACTCTATTAGCACCTTAGAGGGGTTTGATGTTGTCACATCATTGTCCACAATTTTTTTTTTTTTTTTGGTACCTGAGATTGAACGCAAGGGTGCTTAGCCACCAAGCCACATCACCAGCCCTTTTTATATTTTATTTACAGACAGGGTCTCCCTAAGTTATTTAGGCCCTCAGTAAGTTGCTGAGACTGGCCTGGAACTTGCGATTCTCCTGCCTCAGCCTCCCAAGCAGCTGGGATTACAGGCATGCACAACTACGCCTGGCTTGCCAACACATTTTATCATCTAACTTTCAAATTAGATTAAGTTATACAGCCACCCTAGTGGATTTAAAATGGTTTCTCATTCTGTTACTTATTCACATTTCCCTAATGACTAAATGTTGAGCATCTTTTCAGGCATTTATTAGCCATTTGTGTATTTTAGAAGAAATGTCCATACAGATTCTTTGCCCATTTTTTATTGAATTATGCCTTTTATTATTGGGATGTCAGTGTTACTTATATGTTTTGGATACAAATTTAATATCAGATATATTACTTGCAAATATTCTCTCCTGTTCTATAGGTTGTATTTTACTTTCTCAATGGTGTCCTTGAAAACACAAAATTCAAAAATTTGATCAAGTCCAATTTATTTTTTCTTTTATTGCTTGTGCTTTTTGGTGAGATATGGAAGAAAATATTACCAAATTCAAGGAGATAAAGACTTACCTGTAAATTGTCTTCTAAGATTTTTTATATTTCAGTTTTTATATTTGACTTTTAAAAATCTATTTTGAGTTAATTTTTGGATATGGTGTGAGGTAGGGATTCCAAATTCATTGTTTTATATTGTGTATACTGTGTATATGTATATCCTAGCATCACTTGTTCAAAGTTATTCTTCAATACTTTTTTTAAATTTTTTAGTTATAGATGGACATAATATCTTTATTCTATTTATTTATTTATTTTTATGTGGTGCTGAAGATCAAACCCAGGGCCTCACACTTGCTAGGCGAGTGATCTACCGCTGAGCCAAAACCCTAGCCCCTCAATTCTTCCTTTCTTTCCTTTTCTTCTTCTTTTTGCTCCTCCATGGTAGAGATTGAACCCAGGGCCTTCCACATACTGGGAAAGTGCTCTACCACTAAGCTACTTACCCAGACCTTTTTATTTTCTGTTGAGACAGAGTCTCACTAAATTGCCCGAGCTGGCCTTGAACTTACAATCATCCTGCCTTGGCCCCCTACACCCAGCTCAAAGACTATTGTTTCCCTCATTGAATTGCCTTGCACCCTTGTCCAGAATTAATTTATCATAGATACATAAGTTTATTTCTGAACTCCAGATTCTACTCCATTAATCTGAGTCTGTCCTTAAGCCAGTCCCACACTGTAGCTTTGTAGTAAGTTTTTTAAGTGTGAGTCCCTCAATTTTGTTTTTCTTTTTAAAGACTCGTGTAGCTTGTTCTGGGTCCCCTGAGTTTTCATATGAATTTAAGACCCAACTGTCAATTTCTACAAAGAAGCCACTGATTCTGATAGGAATTGTGTTTTATTCATTTATTTATTTGTAACAAGGATTGAACCCAGGAGTAGTTGACCACATCCACAGTCCTTTTGTATCTTTCATTTTGAGACAGGTTTTTTTACTAAGTTGATTAGGGCCTCACTAAATTGCTGAGGCTGACTTTGAACTTGTGATCCCCCTGCCTCAGTCTCCCAAGCCACTGGGATTGTAGGCATATGCCACTGCACCCAGCAAAATTATATTTATAGATCTATTTAATAATATTAAATCTTCCATTTCTTTAGATTTTGATGTATTTCAACAATTATTTGACATTTTCAGAGTATACATTTTGTACTTATTTTGTTAAATTTATTCTTAAGTATCTTATTTTGGGAAGTGCTATTGTAAATGGAGTTATTTTCTTAATTTCCATTTAGGTTGCTCATTGCAAATATGTGGAAATACAATTGATTTTTCCATATTGACCTGCATATTGTATGCTGCAACTTTTTCTGTTCTCATTAATTAATTCCATTTTTATTGTAGTAAAATATACAGCATAATTTCCCCCTTTTAGTTGGGTGAGTGGTACACACCTATAATCCTAGCTACTTGGGAGGCTAGCCTCAGCAATTTAGCAAGACACTGCCTCAAAATTAAAAATCAACAAGTAAATAAAAGGACCAGGGATGTGGCCCATTGGTAAAACACCCCAGAGTTCAATCCCCAGTATCACAGGGGGAGAAAATTATCTACCTTTTAACATGTTTTTAAATGTACAGTACAGTACTAACTATAAGCACAATGTTATTCGGTTGATCTCTAGATCTCTAGAACTGTTTCATCTTGCACAACTGAAACTCTGTACCTTCTGAACATCAACTTCTCATTTGTCCCTCCCCCCATCTCCTGGAAACCACAAATCTATTTTCTATCTCTGAGTCTGACTAGTTTAGTAAGTGAAATCATGCAGCATTTGTTCTCCTGGGTCTTGTAGCATGTTTTCAAGGTTCATCCACATTGTGGAATATGACAGGATTTTCTTCTTTTATGGCTGAATAGTCCCTCATAAGTATATGCCACATTTTCTTTATCCATCTGTCATTAGACAGATGTTTAGTCAGTTTCCACCTTTTGCCTATTTTTAACAATTTTGAAATAAACATGAGAATGCAAATATCTCTTTGAGATTCTGATTTCAGTCATTCTGGACAAATCCCTAAAGTGGGTTTGCTGGATCACATAGTAGTTGTAGTTTTGATTTTTCAAGGAACCATAATACTGTTTTCCATAGCAACTGCGCCATTTTAAACTTATAACCATGCATGAGGTTTCAAATTTGTCCACATTCTTACCAACATTTGTTAATTTCTGGTTTTGTTTTGTTTTTATAATGACCATCCTGGTAGGTATGAGTTGATAACTTCACTGTGGTAAAGTATCTTTGCTTTTCTGTAATGATTAGTGCTAGAGTTCTGACTTTTCAGTGGAATTCTTAGGATTTTCTATATACAAGATCATGTCATCTGCAAATAGATATAGTTTTGCTTCTTCCTTTTCATCCTAGATTTGATTTATTTCATTTTCTTGTTTAATCAACCTTGACTCTTCAGTACAATGTAGAACAGGGTGGACACTGTCATCTTCTTCCTGATCTTTCAGAAACTCACTATTAACTCTGACATTATCTGTGGGCTCTTCATAGATGCCCTGTATCAGGTAGGGGAAACTCCTACTTTGTTGCATGTTTTTTTTATGAAAGGATATTAGACTTTGTCAAAAGCTTTTCCTGCATCTACTGAGGCAATGATGTGTTTTCCTTAGTTCTAATATGCTGTATTTTTAAAAAATATTTATGTTTTAGTTTTAGGTGGACATAATA